ATTTTATGACAGAAACTATATCTTTCTTGATTCTCTTTGTCATCCTTTATGAAAGTGTTATGGATGCAACAGACTAGAAGTTAGGTATTTCATCCTCAACTTTTAGAGGATACTTAAAAATCTGGAATAGTCAGGAGGAACTTTGTTCTCAGAAACGGTTAGTTAGGTACAGTAGTGTCATGTGTCTTTAAAAATACTGGACAGTTTTGGGGGTCACAGTTCAGTAGCCCAGCCATTGCTCAAGCCTTGGGTACCTTTAAGCCATGGTATCTTCTATCAGTCTAAGATAAAAGTGTATGTACTTTTTAAAATGAACTCTATAAGGCATGTTCTCTCCTTTTCTTTTCTGTTTGTGGTTGGTGCATACATTTTGGTGTACACAGCAATTCTGAGTCACTGAAATATATGATTATGTTTCAAATTTTGAATGCAACAATTTCATTAATTTATTCTTTTTTATTAATTTTTTGTGAATTTCATACATATATTTTTATTGAAAACAGGGCCTAGATAGGTGGCTCAAAGGGTAAAGTGCTTGTTATACAAGTGTGAAGAACAGAACTTTGATCACCAGAAGCAACTCAAGGTCTGTTGGGCATGGAAGTATCTCCTATAAACTCAGTAGAGAAGGTGGAGACAGGGTATCCAAGGAACATGCTGGCTAACCAGACTGAGTGAAATGGCAAATACTTAGTTCAGTGAGAGATTATCTCATTATATAAGATAGAGAATAATCAAGAAAGACACCTAATGCCAACTTGGGCCTCTCTGTTGGGCACACACATATATATGTGCACACATGTATGTGTACTAACACACATGAAAATACAAAATGTATGTACACCACACACATAATATACATATGCAACAGGAAAAAACAAAAATGCAAAGTTCTAATGTCTCAGTGAAGAAAGTCCTGTACAATAGAATGATCAACAGAGTAAAAAGTTAATCTACACAAAGTAAAAAAATATCAGACAGGGGATTAATGAACAAAATTTATATGGCATAGCTATAATGAAACAGCCAAAAGAAAATAAACTCAGGCATATGAGAAGAGATTTAGAATTATACTTAATAAAAGAGAATATAAAAAGGCCAGAATGATAAAGTAATGCTGTTTCACTAATATCTCAGAGATGCAAATCAAAGTCAAACTTAGATTGTGCCCTACAGCTGTTAGATGGTTAATATCAGAATGAAGAAAGACAAACGTCACAGAGCACGTGGACAAAATGCAATCTTTCTGTATTGTTAGTGGGAATGTAAGTTAGTAAAGAAAAAACTATGCAGCACCCCTAACCAATAAATATACGGAAGTAACATAGGATCTAACCTTCACACTCCTTCAAACACAACTAGAAGAAAAAAATATTTCATCTGAAAGAAAAAATATCTGCACCACCGAATTCATTGTTACAGTGTTCATAGAACCAAAGATGGGAAAGAAACAAATGTCCATCAACGGACGAATGCTGAAAGTAAAGGCTTCTCTTGTTTGCTCTCCTCTTCCCTGCCCACCTCCTTCACAGTCCCCTCGCTCTCCCTCCTCACTCAGGTTCTCACCTACAACCCCACACATGTGGCCAACTGCATACAAATGAGCAAGCATATATGGAAATTGATGGGGCATGTTTAATAAAACATAATAAGCAATATTTTCAATATTTTATTAAAAAATACATGTATTTTACACACAAGTTGAGAAACAAATTTGGCCACAATTTATACAACTTTATGAAGAGCGTGAAGAGGGTGTGAAACTTTTTGCAAGTTTTCACAAAATCCAAATAAAGATGAGGATCCAAGATGAAGATGCTGTATTTCTTTCATTTTTTTTTCAGATAATTTAGCATGTAGTTAGAATTTTGGAAGATATTTAATTATTCCTAACATGAAGAAATTTGGAGATATTTTCAGTAAGACAGCCGGTTACAACCCACAGACTGGGAAGCTGCAGAAACTCCTCAGTACTAGTACCTTCCACAGCACAGTGGGCGGTAGCACCTGTAGCCATAGCCACCATAGAGACCATAGCCACCATAGTCACCATAACCACATCCATAGCCACAGCCTAGGCCACCATAGCCATAGCCCAGGCCTCCATAGTAGCTGCCATAGTAACACATGGTGTCAGGAGTGGACTGTCCAGTTGAGGACCAGCAATAGGTTCCTGAGTCTGGATGTCTCCAACTGCCATGGGTCTTTTATACACCTGGGTGGTAAGCAGGTAAGTCACAGGCATTGTAGCATCAAACATCTCATTTAGGTGCTTCAGTAAACATCATGGGTTTTGTGATTTACTCGACAAACAAGACCTGCATATCTGAGATAATTGTGCCCCTGTGTCCGGATGCCATGGTCAAATCACTGAGGTTTCACATAAATTTCTGGTTCGATTTCGCAAACTCCAGCTCATTTTATCTTTATCAAATACTTATGAATTGACTCTGTGGTACAACACAAATCATTCAAATAGCTTCTTTTTAAAATATTTGTTTTGTAACACTCTATAAGAAGAAAATCTTTGTGTTTTGTTTTGTAATGGTGGCATAAATCTTATCTGGAGGAATACATTTCTTGATTCTTGCTTATAAAAAATGACCTTGCTACTGATTTACTCAGTAACTTGGTGATAATGCAGATCTTATACAAACATTGCTCAGATTTATTCTGAACTCAGTATTTTCATGTAGGTTATTGTTAAATCTCCAGAAAATAAGTGATTATTTTATGATCACAAATTATATATATATTTGCCGTCCCTCTGTGTCATCCCATAGGATGTGTCTATGAAACAGATCATGGTCTGTTAGTTGCTTCACCCTAACCTCTGATACTCTCTTTCTGTGAGGCTCTAGGGTCCCATTAGTTTTCATAAAAGCCTTGCAGGTACAGCAGTGACATGACTCTTTCAAACTTTTTGGAGATGTGCTGGGGATATTCTTAACTAGTAAAGCCCTCCCTTGCATCCACAAGGCCCTAGTTTCTTTCCCTAGTACTCTCCAATCCCTGAATCAAAGAGTGAATCATAGACATCTTTATAAATGAGATGTCAATATCATCTCTCTATAGGTGTTAGAAAATTACTTAAAATTACTTACCGCTTGACTTTCAAGTGGCTGAGGCCTAAATTTCTCCAAATACCACACTTACTTTCAGTGGTAAACATTGTTATCTTTGAATGTAAACTTGATGAGATACACAGATGTGAGGAAGCACACTCCTCTTCTTTTTCAATATGGTCCTTAAACACCCAACTATAGCACTAAGTTGCATGAAACAGCTAAGGGTCCAAATATATGCAACCTTACTGTTGGTTTTATAGCTTGTGCATCATTTAAAACTTTAATATACAAGAGTGAGAACGAAACCAGATTAGACAGAGATGAAAGTGTAGATTCAGAATCACATAAGAGCATTTTTTTGTGAGCTATTTAAAGTCAGTGAACAGATGTTAACTTTTGTAGGTTTTTTTTTTAATGTTTGGTTCAATTTATGTGTGGTTCAGTCAGTAAAAAAAATTAGGCAGTAAAAACAATTTCTATGTCTTTTTTTAATTAAGATTCAGCAATTGTTAAACTTTAGAATATCTTCTGCTTGTTTCATGGTCACACCTCTTCCTCTCCTACCAATTCTGCCATCTGACTGATGTCACCAGGCAACACATTCCTGTAAATCTCAATGTCCCTCATGTGGGTACCACAGAGGCATGAAATTAACTTTCCAGTTCTAGGGTGGGGATTCTTCCAATACCATTTCATTCTTTACAGATCATTGTGCCTTTTGTTTGCTTGGGACTGCTACAATTATTTTTAAGAAGAACAGAAGATTGGGACCATTTTTTTTCTTTTCTCACTTGAGAACAGAGTTGCATGGGGCAGGTGCTGAAAGATCTGTATTCACAGATAATTGAAACTAGCAATGAAGGAAAGCTTGGCTTAAGTTTTCTTATGGAACAACTACAATATACAGTATTTTATGTGCCATTACTGCCCGACTCAGGGTCAAGGGGAGAGAGAATGGAGTATTGGTTGGAAGAATAAAAAAGCACAGTGAGAAACTGCTGTGATTAGGCTTAGCTATATGTGGGTTGTGCCAAGTGCCTGCCTTTCATAAAATCTCGGTGAGATCATATCAGTATTTTCAGCCTGTATTCAGGATAATTTTCTAATTAATCTGCTTTTAACTGAAGGATGTTGGTCTAAATAAAGGGATCTACATAAATCAAACTGCCAGTTTTCAGAGAGTGATGAGAAAACTGAATGCTGGACAGACATGTTTTAGCTGAGTCTTCAGCTCATGGTGCTGAATGGAGTTCACCCTGTTACCTGTCCCACAGCATCATTCTACAACTAAGAAGGAAATCCATCCTCTCTAAGTGTGTGTGTGGATTTCTAGAAAATGTGCTTTTAAACATTGCAAAATAGACAAAAATGAAACATGCATAAAATGAACATAAGTGCTAAATGTTTTTCAAGACAAATTTTACTGAGGAAACAAATTTTTCTCTCTGAAGCTGTTAAGTTGCAATAATGAATGGCAAAGTAATGCCGTCTTTAATGGGAATATTTTTATGAATGATGGAATATTGTACGTGAAGCTTGTATAATGTTTAGTCTGAAGGATTGAGTCTGATTACAAAAGATACTATAACTGTTTTGATTCTTCTTCAGAACACTTAATTAATTTTTTAATATTTTATTTATTTTATGTGTATGCGTGTTTTGCCTGCATGTAGATAAGTACACCCGTGTCATGAAATGCCTGCAGAGTACAGAAGAGGTTGTTGGATCCCCTGGACCTGGAGTTACGGACAGTTGTCAGCTGCCATGTGGGTGCTGGGATTTGAACCCTGGTCTTCTGCAAGAACAACCAGTGTTCTTAACCATTGAGCAAGCTCTCCAGCCTCCAGAACACTTAAGGTATTTACAGCATGGAAGGATAGTTGGGATGCACAGGAGGAAGAGTTCTATAAGCTAATTGGCTCAAGAAGTTTCTCAATAAAACCCATAGGACAAGTATCTGCCATAGCAATATGGGTAGCAGCAGCTGTACCCAAACCTGCCATAACCATAACCACAGCCATAGCCCAGGCCACCATAGTTACAACCATAGCCATAGCCCAGCGCACCACAGCCATAACCGTAGCCCAGACCCCCATAGTAGTTGTCATAATAGTTCATGGCATTAAGAGTGGAAAGTTCAGTTGAGTGGTTGTCAGTTTCCTCTGGTGAAAATCACCATCTGCCCTCGACTTTCCTACTCTGTTCAAGGGTAAGGGGCAAAAAACCTGGAAGTTATGCATCTCATGTTTTATATTAATTTACATTTTAAAGTTTTAGGATCCACAGTTCATTAGCCATACAGTCTTCATAGCCAAGACTCCTTTGCTGTGATGTCAGGATTCCATCCATAAATTCTGTCTTTAGCCATCTGGAGAGGTAGAAAGACCAGAATTTGGATCCTAGTACTCACAAAACAGGCTAGGTGTCCCACAAGCACCTGTAACTCCCTTGGAGTCCTTACCTTGCCTCTATATAGTTAACTACCTTTTCCTATTAATGAGTCTTTGGATTCAATTCTCCTTACTCAAATTGCCATGTGGTTTCTATCCTGGATTGAACCTGATCTGCATACCACCCTAGGGTGGGCACACCCCTTGTCCTGTTCCTAAAAAAATCCTCCACCAGACAGATGAATAGTCAGATGTGGCTGCCAACTGACTGCCATTTTTGTATAAATTGTCCTTTATGGTTAAACTGTCCCCTTGGAGACAGCCTCCCTCTAGCCCCCGAAGAAGAATGGCACAGACCTAGCCACTGGCTCCATTGCATGCAACAAAAATGACAGCTAGAGTAGACAGGGCAGTCTGGTTTGTCATATCAACCAGACCTTGAGTTATGACCTTTGACATGCCTGGGAACACTGCCACTATCCACAAAGCCCTAGAAATAACATTGGGATTCTCTGAAGACATGTAATTATGTTCTGCTCTGCACACAGCAGTGAGGCAACTAGAGGCATGAAGAGGCCAGCTCAGGAAAAGAACTGAGGGTGGCATCATGCAGCCCCAAGTACCAAGCCTCATGAGTCTAGAGGTCCCCAATATGTAATTGTATGAGCAGCGGGCTAAGCCCAATTTAGAGTGACAGATCTGTTCAGAGCAGGGAGCATCTTCCAGGCTGACTTATGCAAGACTTCTTACCTAGGAGACAGGGATAGGAACAGTGATGGCCTCAGTCTCTGGCATTCTCTGCTAAGACTTGTCAGACCCCTCACAATGTGGCAAGTCAATGTGTTCCCATTTTCCTTCTGTTTGTCAGAGGAGGACCCTTCAGCCCCAAGAGGCTGCCAGGAACCCCATGCAAGGTATCTCCCTCCACAGGTCTCATATAGCCTAGCAAATTATCTCTTCAAATCCGTCAAAGATGTCTTCTGTATAGCATGAGCAAGCAGTGACATCCTTTACCATATCCTGCTCCGTGTGGAGGCTCTCAGCGTCAGCTGTGATCATTGCTCTCTCCCGGCAGAAGTTGCTCGGCTGCAGGTCCTGATGATCACGTGCAGTCGTAGCAGGTCTGGCAGGTCTCGGGCAGAGTCTTGGTGTCTCGATGTCTCGGGCACGAACGTCGGGATGCGGACAGATGGAGTGATGGTCTGTATTGGTCTCAGGAGTTGCCAAGCATTGGTGAACTGCCCGAGTCTCTGGCTTTTTACATGCTTTTTACTGTCAGTCTGTCGTTGTCTTGACGTCAGTGAGTTCAGCTGGTGTCTTAGATATGGTGACTGCTCTTGGGTTACTTATCACACTCACACATACATTCTGTTTCACTCAGTTAAGGCTCATGCTTCCTAGTTCAGCTTACCTTGTCAACCATAGCTGTCACATAGTTCATGGTTTCAATCACTTTCGTTTTTACAGATTGGATTTCTATTTCTATATTCTAAGTTCTATGATATTTGTTATGTTTCTATTACATTCATTACACAGAGGCCAGCCTGGTCTACATAGTGAGTTGGAGGACAGCTGGGGCTCAGCCACCCCTCCCCACTCAAACGCATGGGCCCCATACATCACAAGTTCCAGTATGACGTCTTAAGAACCAGGGCTTGCCTGGATACAGAGTAGCTGCAAGCTGCTCATTTTTCCTTTCTCTGTTCTCCCCATACCAGATTTGCTCAGTAATCTCCCTAAACGAGGACTTTCTCAGGGTGACGTGGCGTGGCTGCCTGCCTAGCCTCCAGCTCCACCGGATTATCCTCCCCCACATCTTATGGCCTGTCAGCTGCCCCTGCCTGGCTGGCCTTGCAGGTTGCTCCTGCCAGGGGAAACCCATCTGTATAGAGACTGGACCCTCATTGTTCCTGTGGCCGCCTGGCCTCTGCAGCAGCCCCAGGAGGCAATATATCTTTGGGATGTTCCAGCCTTTAAGAACCACTGGGGTCCCTCTTTCAGGGCGCCAAGACCACTCTCCCTACTACCCCACCAGTGAGGATGGTTCCGACTCTACAGCCCTTGACATCTGGTCACCTTCCTCTTCCTTTTGAAAAGACCACTGAAGCGAGAGCTAAGGAAAAATTAAAAGATGGGAAGAAGAAGAAGAAAAACAACAAGAAGAACAAGAAGAAGGAAGAGAGGGTCGAGGAGGCCAAGAGGGAGGGGGTGAAGATGGAGGTGGAGGAGGAGAAGGAGAAGGAGGTGAAGATGGAGGTGGAGGAGGAGGAGAAGAAGGAGGTGAAGATGGAGGTGGAGGAGGAGGAGAAGAAGGAGGTGAAGATGGAGGTGGAGGAGGAGGAGAAGAAGGAGGTGAAGATGGAGGTGGAGGAGGAGGAGAAGAAGGAGGTGAAGATGGAGGTGGAGGAGGAGGAGAAGAAGGAGGTGAAGATGGAGGTGGAGGAGGAGGAGAAGAAGGAGGTGAAGATGGAGGTGGAGGAGGAGGAGAAGAAGGAGGTGAAGATGGAGGTGGAGGAGGAGGAGAAGAAGGAGGTGAAGATGGAGGTGGAGGAGGAGGAGAAGAAGGAGGTGAAGATGGAGGTGGAGGAGGAGGAGAAGAAGGAGGTGAAGATGGAGGTGGAGGAGGAGGAGAAGAAGGAGGTGAAGATGGAGGTGGAGGAGGAGGAGAAGAAGGAGGTGAAGATGGAGGTGGAGGAGGAGGAGAAGAAGGAGGTGAAGATGGAGGTGGAGGAGGAGGAGAAGAAGGAGGTGAAGATGGAGGTGGAGGAGGAGGAGAAGAAGGAGGTGAAGATGGAGGTGGAGGAGGAGGAGAAGAAGGAGGTGAAGATGGAGGTGGAGGAGGAGGAGAAGAAGGAGGTGAAGATGGAGGTGGAGGAGGAGGAGAAGAAGGAGGTGAAGATGGAGGTGGAGGAGGAGGAGAAGAAGGAGGTGAAGATGGAGGTGGAGGAGGAGGAGAAGAAGGAGGTGAAGATGGAGGTGGAGGAGGAGGAGAAGAAGGAGGTGAAGATGGAGGTGGAGGAGGAGGAGAAGAAGGAGGTGAAGATGGAGGTGGAGGAGGAGGAGAAGAAGGAGGTGAAGATGGAGGTGGAGGAGGAGGAGAAGAAGGAGGTGAAGATGGAGGTGGAGGAGGAGGAGAAGAAGGAGGTGAAGATGGAGGTGGAGGAGGAGGAGAAGAAGGAGGTGAAGATGGAGGTGGAGGAGGAGGAGAAGAAGGAGGTGAAGATGGAGGTGGAGGAGGAGGAGAAGAAGGAGGTGAAGATGGAGGTGGAGGAGGAGGAGAAGAAGGAGGTGAAGATGGAGGTGGAGGAGGAGGAGAAGAAGGAGGTGAAGATGGAGGTGGAGGAGGAGGAGAAGAAGGAGGTGAAGATGGAGGTGGAGGAGGAGGAGAAGAAGGAGGTGAAGATGGAGGTGGAGGAGGAGGAGAAGAAGGAGGTGAAGATGGAGGTGGAGGAGGAGGAGAAGAAGGAGGTGAAGATGGAGGTGGAGGAGGAGGAGAAGAAGGAGGTGAAGATGGAGGTGGAGGAGGAGGAGAAGAAGGAGGTGAAGATGGAGGTGGAGGAGGAGGAGAAGAAGGAGGTGAAGATGGAGGTGGAGGAGGAGGAGAAGAAGGAGGTGAAGATGGAGGTGGAGGAGGAGGAGAAGAAGGAGGTGAAGATGGAGGTGGAGGAGGAGGAGAAGAAGGAGGTGAAGATGGAGGTGGAGGAGGAGGAGAAGAAGGAGGTGAAGATGGAGGTGGAGGAGGAGGAGAAGAAGGAGGTGAAGATGGAGGTGGAGGAGGAGGAGAAGAAGGAGGTGAAGATGGAGGTGGAGGAGGAGGAGAAGAAGGAGGTGAAGATGGAGGTGGAGGAGGAGGAGAAGAAGGAGGTGAAGATGGAGGTGGAGGAGGAGGAGAAGAAGGAGGTGAAGATGGAGGTGGAGGAGAAGGAGAAGGAGGTGAAGATGGAGGTGGAGGAGGATGAGGACTGGAGGTGGCCAATGGGGACAGAATGTCAAGAGGAGAAGAAAAGAAGCACATTCAGCAGCCATGTGCAAACATCATCTATGACCTTGGGGGCCAAAGGGAACATGGTTTCTGTGAGGCCACCTTAGGGGCCTCAGGAAGGAAATGGACATCCTCAGAGGGTGACTTCCTTGATGTCTCCCAGGAAGATATCCCATGGCCTTAGCAGCCCCAGTTCTTACCATCCTACAGGAGGCATCCTCTCTCTTGGGCAGTGTGGTGTGGTTGCACCAGGATGCCCCGACCCAGCTTCAACCAGCTGTTTCAAACTTTGGGAGGCCTTTCCCAAGGAAGAACTAGAGCTAAGTAACTGCCTAGGCTCTGCAGGATCCCAGAAGTCACGGAAGGAGGGGCAGGGCGAGAAGCCTCAGATTAGTGCACCAGGAACCTGTGCTGCTCCACCTGTACCTGCGCTAAAGAGGACCTACAAGAGAAAAGCGTCCACTCTAGAGCTGCTGCCGCCACCCCCAGGGCCACTACAGAGGGATGGAGGTGACATGCCCCCACCTCCCAAGATTCCACGCACTGACAAAGGAAAAGAACTGGACAGCATGATGACCATGAAGGGTCAAGCCATGCAAAGCGTAGATGATAAAGTGGGTGTCTCACAAGCCTCACAGCCTAAAACCCAGGTGCTAGCAGCCTGCACCGCCTCAGCCTGCCTTGCCTATCCCCCAACCTGTGGCAGGGCATGTGGGCTTTCTGCCCCTTTCCACTAACTTCGTGGT